TGCACAAGTACCAAGCCACGCCTAAAGGATAACCAAACAAAAAAAGCTGAAAGGCATACAATTTCAGAACAAAATCAAGTATTAAATAAGCAAAATGTTGCTTTACAATAAAAATTTCCAAAAAAAAATTTGAGAAAACTTAAAGAAAATAAAACACTCAGACAACAAATTGAAATAGAAAATGGTGAGAAAATAAGAAATCAAGAGTAAGTAAATAATACTTCAGAGTGCCCCAATCCCTACTTTAAAAAAAAATGAAATATACAGACGAAATTGGAGAATGTTGCATGCAGCCAGTAACAGTTAGTTTGAATAAAGTTCAAATTAACAGAAAAACTAGCAGAAAAGCTACCAGAAACTTATAAGTAAACTTATGGTCCATGGCCATAGAAATAATTTATACTGCACTCGTTCTATTTGAACAGTCAAAATGCGTTGACTGTATATTCTATGTCATATACAGTCACTGACCTGATATCACTTTTCCTCATGAATATTTGAATAGTAGAGCCGGAACTATATTAAATATTCATGACGACCTCTTCAATCTGTCCTTGTTTCCAATGTATACAACGAAGCTTGGAACAATTCAAACTTATTTCTTTTACAATTGTTGGAAAAACATATTTCACTTGTTAATAATTTTTGTTTAAAACCTATAAATCATTGTTTTATGCTTATTGTTGATATTTTAGTCCATACTCAAACGAATTCGTTTACCACCGATTGGTTTCAATAGGTAATGTACATTTCATCATGTTAATTGTGTTGTATATTTCCCCGCCAGGTATGAGGACTTTTCAAAGGGGGATTTTTCCCAAAATTTTAATCAAATAAATAACAATAACACAATAAACAACAATTGAAAATGTTTTTTTTCTTCTCTTGATTGCAGTATAAATACAATAAAAGTGTATTGACTTGACATATAAACGATATATAAATTCGGCCCGAAACGGGGAAAAAGCTCGGCAGAGCCTCGCATTTCCCCGTTTCTAAGCCTCATCCTTATGTCGTTGATATGTCAAGTCAATAGACTATTATTTTCTATGTTATGATGTGCTGCTTTTTAATTTCAAAGAAATGATATTTTGGATCTCCACCATGATTACCCTAAACCAAATGGTTTGTTATTATATGACTTTTTTTTGAATATAAAAGCCGAAGTTTGTATTATTGGAGCTAGAGTTTAAATCATGTTAGATAAATCTAAAAATCTAGTAACTGCTCTTTGTCGGAAGATATGAAAGCAAGGATGCGACATCTTAGATTTCAAAATCATTTGCTGCAAATGTAAATTTGTCTTAGTCATTGGCCAGCTGATGGTTATGAATCTTTTAGTAAGGCATGCTTAGTTTAATGTCAGCTTGTTAAATTAAGATGACTTGTACATTGAACTTTCCTCTTGAAAAAAGAGGGTATATTAGTATAAGAAGCAATTTCCCTTGCAATTGGTCTCTTCTTGAAACGAATATTGTGAAATAAAATTAACAGTACCAATTTTTCTGCACCAGATGCGCCTTTCAACAATAAATGTCTCTTCTGTAGTGCTGAAGGCCAAACTATTTGAAAATATCAAGCTTAACGAAATGATGAAGAGCTACAATCTAAAAAGGTACGAAAAGTATAGCCAAAGCCGGGCAAGTAATCAGAGCTTTGCATAAGGGAGATACATTCTTTAAGGATTATGTACCCTTGTGTTTATTCAATGCTAAACATATGGAAATTTAATAGAAAATCCACAGCTTTTCCCTTTGTACTCTCATATTTGGCAATTTGGTGCTTGATAGATAGAGGATTATTGCATGCACTGCTAGCAATGATTTCCTTAAAACAAGTTTACAAATTTAGATATTGGTTAATACAAATACAATTATGGACCCATTCGAGTACACCTTCTAAGGTGCGCTTGACTTTAGTGACTCCGCACGAGGTTTTTTGGAATTTAAAGGTTGTTTAGGACTTTTTGTAAACAATAAACGCTAGCACATCATAGAAAAACAAGTGAGTAATCTTTGTTTAAATTTCTATAACACAAATCTCTGTATGACAGTCTGTGGATTTTCTACAAAAATCTTGGTTTTATTTGCCACAAAATCCCATTTTCTATTGAGGCAATGAAACAATGAAAAATAATTCTTTGCACGAAGTTACCCCTTGGTATATTTACAAAATGGCCCATCTCTATTATTCATTATCTTTGCTGTTTTGATATTATTGCTATTTGAAAATTTCGTAATTAACATGGCTACAGAAGGGGTCATAAACCTTAATTTAAAATAGTTTCCAACATTTTGTAAAAGTAAATTATAAAAACAAAATATCCGTATTTTCATGCCGGTACCGAAGTTCTGGCAACTGAGCTGGTGATACTTTCGGGGACTTGCAGTCCATCAACAGAGGCATCGAACCAGTGGTAGCTATAAAATTGACGGTACCATTTTTTCTCCACCAAATGTGCATTTCGACAAAAAAAGTCTCTTCAGTAATACTCGAGGCTAAAATATTTGAAAATCCAAAGCTGATTAAAAAAGATAAAAGACCTGAAAATAATTGTATACACCTTATCGCTATTTAGTCCAATCCGGGAAAAACAGTCATTTAGACAACTTCCTGTTTGGGTCAACAGGCCGCAAACAAAGGTCATCAGTAACGAGCTGAGGGAGGGAAAAATTTAGAAAGCGATCAATAGGAAACTTTGATAGATTATGATCCACTTTTTCCAAACTCAAATTATAGTCAAAAAAATATTGTGTTTGAAGTATTTACGATGTTTTAAACAGGTCTCATTAAAAAGTGTCATGCATGGTGCATTGTTTAAACAGGGTCCCAGATAGCGTCAACTGGATGAAAAAGTTGTGTAATTTTAGAACTTATCCGGAATGGAATAAATAGCGATTAGGTGTATTAAATTCGAGATTGCATGTTAGTTAACCGAGCGCGTCACTGATATCATGTGGTGTTTGTCGTTGATGGAATATGTTCATTGTTCTGCGATTGCATGTTGTATCGGCTATTGAGATGCCATTATTCCAGGTTCAACACACCATTTTTTCTGTAAATGTCATAAACCAAGTCAGGAATATGGCAGTTGTTATCAAATAGATCGTTTCTATGTGTGTTGGCTTTTGTTTTTGTTTCCCTCGGTTTTGGTTATTAACCAAAATTTGTTTTCTCTCAATCGATTTATGACTTTTGAACACTGCTGTTGTTTCACTGCAATTTCCCCAACCTTAGTAGCAATATACCATCTTCACCTGCACATGGGATATACATTTCCCAACTTATTCGGTATTCAAGAGCTTGCAGCTCCTACTCAGACTTTGTAAAACGTCACCAGTGTCTGAGCAGAAAGTTGATGAACAAGGGGTATGTCCAAGAACGTCTCGTCCTTTTTCTAAAAACGTTCATCGGAAGGTACCAAGACCTTGTTGATAAATATTCCGTATCAACTTCACAAATATTACATGATTGTCTTGGAGTATAGATTCTGCGTACTGTCGTTGTTTATCATCTTAATATTGTGTTATATTGTTCTTTTATTTGTCTTTATTAATATTACTTTTACTGTTTGGTCTGTTTTTGGTGATATCCATTTGACGTGGCTCGGTACTTATGCATCCCGTCAATGTGTTTGTATTATCTTTCATTTTTGCTAGTGTGCTTTGTCCGTGTGACTTTTTGTGTTTCTTTGATACCTATGACGTTGCTCTGTACTTTTAAACATCCCGCCGTTATGTAATTGTTCTATTAAAATTTTTGCAAACTTTGAACGACAAAATTATTTTATATCTGTACATTGTACCGGTGTGACGTTTACATTCTGAAGTCAAACACGCGATTCCAAACCAGAATTAATGTACATGTTAATCCAGCCATTCGGTCATAGGACTTATACATACATAAAATGCAAAAATAAGTAAGCTATGAACGTGGTTGTTTAATTTGATATATGCTTTTTTGTGCTTCTTTGTTAGATATTTGTTTGTTTTTGTTCTGATTGAGATGAATTTTTAGGCTGTGGCAATTATGTTGACTTACTAGTTTGTATGATAGTTCTTTGAAACTTGTTTGCAATGAATTTGGAATTGGTTTAACTGGAAACATCATTTATTACCATGACATTTGATATCAATGGTAAATTTCAGAGAGTTCACCAGCGTTGATTTTTTTTCATTACAATCAAAATGGATTGTTAAACGAGTAGAATTATGAGATAGAAAGTGATTTTTTTATTTTTGTTGACCAATTATTCCACACCTTTTCTAACAAAAAACACAAGAAACTGTCACCACTTCTTATTACTCTCACTTTCGTACAATAAATTTAATGCACCTATCTCTCACACTTGTCACATTACGCCAAATTGGTAAAGATTTTTAAAACTACAACTCAGTCTCACCTGCTCCGGAACAAACTTCTTGCATACACAACACTTTTCATCCTCTTATTTCTGACTCACTAGCACTCTATCTACCGTGCACTCCCTAAGTTCTTACTCCACTTCGTCCTGGCTCCTGAGAATCACCGTCACTCTTGCTAAATTTTACAATATTTTCTTCACTTGTTTATCTTCTTCCTGTATCCAACTAGTCCATTCTGGCCTTTCTTACTATCTTTCATATTGCTGTCACTCACACTACTACTTACCTTCTTCCCAGGATACTTGTGCAAATGTTTGATCACCCTCTCTAACAGATTATCCTCGGTCACTGTCTTTCCACTTATAATCCTATTTAAAACAATCCTCTTCTATTTCCCTCCCCTTTTACTCTCTTCATGGCTACCACTTTCTATACAAAAAAATCATTGTCATTCCCTTTTGCTATCCAAACTTCCTGACTATTTATCATTCTACCACTCACAGAACTTTTATTCCCACTTGCTTTCCCAGCTACCTCAAAACCACCACTCACTTCACCCTCATTCTCCTAATCACAGATAGAAAGCTTGTCATCATTTACAGCGAATAAGCTCTTGTCAGTTGATGAACTATAAGTTCAATACTTTGCCTTTCCACCTGCCAGATGAACTTGATTGATCTACAAATATAATACAAAACAATAGTAATTATACTGACCCATTTGTGTTTAAAAACAGAAAGGAGAACATAATTTATTAAAACATTTGATATGTATCTAGATTTAAATTACTTTATAAAACCAAAGATATTGTTTTAAATGCATTTTTTATTTATTTATTAAGGAACATGATAAAGTAGTATCTAATTTATCTATGTTTTACTAGCTATTTATTATTTCGTCGCTTGTCAATAACCTGTGAGAAGTTCTAATTCTGCTATGTTTTAGTTTAGGTTTGCCCTCATTTATTGAATTAACAGAGAAGGTGTATCCAGATCTTGTTGATAGACAAGTTCAATTATTGAATGTGCAGTTTTGGAGGATGATAAATCCGTTAAACTAGCTAAAATCTCTGCGTCATTGTCAACATAAAATATCTGTCATGAATGCATCGGCGTCTGAAGTGGCGTTCACGCCGAAAAAATCATTGGAATTGACAAGTGTTTGGTGATCACCAGTGCGATTAAGTCTGTGAAAATATATTTGAGTAACTTGTAAAGAAAGTGAGAAAGCCAAGCGGACTAGTAATTTGTGGTGACACAACGGTAGCTGATATCATATGGTAAGTTGATGGAGTAGAAAGATCATTTGTACGTGTGCATGCCTGTGAAACAACAACAGTAGCAAGAGAAACAGCAGTAGCAGTGTGGGAAACAACAGGTTCAGATAGAAGTAACTTTACGCTCAGCCCATAACAATGGGTGTTTGTCACCGGGCAATCCTCTCTCCAACTCGTCCAACTCAATGTCCTGATTGTTAAATGCAGAAGCGGTTGCAAATGCAGACACTTGAATAGCAAGGGTATTCTAATCAACTATGCCTGTTTCCTCAAAATCGGACAATATTCGACCTCTTGAAAGATTTCTCGTATGCTCATAGGACAGTCATCCCTTCCCTACTGTTACCTGTTCTGCCAGGCACACTCATGGCTACAGGTGATACCAATACCTTGACGTGTCGATGTTCCACATTTAATTGGTCTCGTCCATGTTCGATATTTCTGTTGGAGATGGATCTTTGATATATGTGTGTCAATCAACAAAATACCTTCCAACCTTGATGGGATTCAGCATTCTAATTTTCTCTGGGTTACGAAGAACAAGCACAGGGTGTCTACGACGCAGAGCTGCAAGCCATTCCATACAAGGGACCCCATCCTTGAAGATGTTTTTCGACATCACCAGGATTGACCGGTTTCTTGACTGGTTTGGTGTCCACGGAGAACTTGGTCAGCAAGTTTGATACACGAAACTTTACGCTGGCTTCCCTGACGGGCATGTCTCCAAACTTTCTTAGTACAAAGAAGTAAAATGATCCCAGTTCAAGTCTGACAGAAGGTTATTTATTTATTTCTAAAGTACGGAATGTTGCATATCGTATAGGCATAAAACAGACTTCACCAACAGACCAAGGTTACACACACACCTACACTACTTCCTTATCTGAAGAAAACTACTTCCTTATCTAAAGAAAATACAAGAAACACAAAAAGAGATACAAGTAATTGATGGTTAGAACAATTAAAACATGTAAAAATGTAATATTCGGCCAAATATAACAACATAACTACAACACAGCAAAAAAAAAAAAAAATACAATAAGATTATCTAATGATTAACAATATCGCAATCAGCAGAATTTGGCGAATGGCAACTGCTGAAACCTTCAAAATGGTTCTTGGTCTGTATTACAGGGTTAATGACAATATGCTAAACTCTAGAAATACATAGTCAGGTGAAACTTAAACTATCATTTGAAAACAGAAAAAAAAAATCTAATTCTTACTTGTCATAGTGGGCATTGCAAAGATGTTTAGAATTAAAGTGCTGATGAGATCTGGTAATTTTAAACTGCCTTTATGTACGTTTACTACATTCAGACACTTGACAGTCTAAGATGTACTTCTATACCATCTAAATGGTCAATGTCGATATCTGGCACCTGTTTTGTCCATCCTGGCAATGCTGAAACATCCAAAATGGTTCTTGATCTGAATTACTGGGTTCATGACAATATGCTAAACTCTAGAAACATATAGTCAAGTAAGACTTGAAAAAATCCAACTTTAATGGTTGATAACTGGGTTATAGGAGACATTGCAAAGACGTTCTAGAATCATGGTGCTTGGTAATCCCTGGTAAGTTGATACTGCCTTAATTGAGTTTGACTATATTCCGACACTTTAGGAGGTACTTTTTTATCATAAAAATGTCAATGTCCATATCTGGCACCTGTTTTGTTAATCCTGGTAACTTTAACAGATAGTTGGAGCTCGTTTAGTTGCTTACTATCTAATAGGTTATTTTCTATCTTTGGTTCTTTCATGCAAAAATCTTTTTTTTTCACTGGTACCATAATTATGTTAAAAAGTTCGAAACATAAACAAATCTCCAACGAGTTGCAATCAACACCATCAGTGCAGAGGCGTTTATAATCCCTAAAATTTAAAATCTTTACATGTTTATATGTTTGAGGTGTTAAAAGACGAGGTTGTATAATGTTGCTACTTTTTGTTGCCGATGGAAGACATGCTGTTGTCTGCTCTATGGTCGGGTTGTTGTCTCTTTGACACATTCCCCTATTTCCATTCTCAATTTTATGGTATTCTATACTAGTATTATATATTAAGGCCACAGTTGTGTTTTTTTTTTTTTTTTTGCGTCAACTGAAAATGAAAAAACCTACCAGCCAGCCAAGAAAAAAAAAACACACACACCAAAAAAAACACAAAAGTTTAGAGCACCAAAAATGCAAAAAGGACCATAGATATTAGGAACAAAGTAAGACAATTCCATGCTAAACCCATTTGACAACATATATCAGGCAATAGGAGACGTTTAATTGGTATTAGATGATTAAATTAGTTGATAACATCTGTTGAAGATCTCATGGTGAACCCTTAACAATTTTAATTCACTTGAGTTGGTAAGATAAACCTTGTGCATATGTTACCTTTCAGGGATGTTCCAGAAAAAAAGACATCATGGGGCTTTGAAGGCACTTTTTATAGTACCCACCACCTTTAGATTTTATATCAATGTCTTTTGATGATGAAAAGACAACCCCTTGTAGTGTTTAAAATGAGGTGCTATCAAAGGGTCCCATGTATTTTTTTTTTTTTTTTGGTGCAGCCATTCTTTCTCAACCTGTAATAAATAATTATATAAATCATTTTTTCAACTTTTAATACTAAAAACTTTTAAAAATACAACAAAATTTATGACAATATGAAAAAACTGACTAGATTGGAATGTAAAATTAAAACAAAAAAAATGGGACTAGATCAAACAAAGAAACTGACTAGATTGATATGTAAAAATATACAAATAAAAATATGGGACAAGATCAAACAAAATAAAAAAAAAAATTGTTATATTTAAAGTAAAAATGTAAATTTAGTTTGATGATCCCTCAAAAGAAAGGAATGGTATTAACAAGAAATATTAATCTCAGAGGAATTGTCACTTAAGGCTATAAATCTATAACATTCTAATAAAACAACATATCAAATTCATCTTCAAATTTAAAATGTCTATTCAAAATAACTCCAACAACACCATGAACTAAATCAACTGTCAATGTTTTCTTGTTTTGGCTTTTTTCTCTCCTCTCTTTCTGGAAAGATGGCCAGAGTTAAAACAGTTTGTGCACACTGGGTAGACGGATTGATACGAACTTCTTTCCTCCACAGAAATGTCTTTTAGAGAAGGGTCAATTCCACGAACGTAACAAACGGGACGAAATTTCAATCTCGAACTATAGAAATGGGCAGATACTTCCGTTGCACAATTTATACCATCTAGTACACAACAGATCAGAAAGATAGGAAACACATTTCATATTTTGTCTCTTGACACATGAGAGTGATATGAAGTACCAGAGAAACCGACATAAATACAAGAATGGAAATATTTAAAAGAAAAAAACTGAACACCAATTGTTCATTTAATCAAGCATAATATTCATCAATACAGAATCAATTGTTGAAATATAAAAGATCCACACATATCACATATAATAAAAGACATTGTCTCAATGTGCAGATAAAAAGTTTTATTGAAAGTCTTCTTTTTTGCTAGTGTTTGCATATTTTAATAATGTACATCCCATGTTTGTTTTCACATGTATTGATATAAAGAATAGAGGCCCAAGTTGTAAAAACTACAAGATATAATACCTTCTGAAGAGGATGATCATCAGGGAAGAAGTCCATTCCACAGATGTAAGAGATGTCTTCCTCCAGGCTCTGTAGCAATATCAACTGGTCCTTGTCTAATTTCCTATTGGCATGGACACATCTGCAATCAATAATGGGAATCATGTATTTAAATCATTGTCAATAAAGATATAAGATAAACAATATATTCCTAGAATGAAGAACAAATTCTTGACATGTGATAAAACATGTAGTAATAAAAACTAGAAAAATGACCTGTCATAAAGGGCCCTATTGGCCTAAGTCCTCAAGTCCATAACTCGGAAACGAAAAATCTGAAACAATTCAAAATCGAAAGGGAGCTTTCTCTGGGAATGCTTTATATTGTTTTAAATAAATTTTATTTCCATTGGTAAAATATAGTTTCAAAAATACATATCTACATGAACAGTATATGGCATAGGATAGATACAAAAAAAAATGTGGTATGATTGCCAATGAGATAACTCTTCACAAGAGACCAAATGACACAGAAAATAACATGTATAGGTCACCGTACGGCCTTCAACAATGACCAAAGCCCATACCGCATAGTCAGCTATACACGGCCCCGAAATGACAAATGTAAAACCATTCAAACGTGAAAACCAACGGCTTAACTATTAAATGTACAAATAAACTAGTTTATTCCAGTTATCATACATTGGTTTATTGCAATCCTCACATCTTAGGACAGCTCTGACAGTTTTGCCTGATATTCTTATTCCTTTGTCTTTTGCTACACTCCCTATGGATGCTTTTTTCTGTTGGAGACTGGGTCTGTGTTCCTCTGAGGTGTTTTTTCCATATAGCTCAGAAAGTTTCTGATAGTGGTCTGGGTCTGTAGGCATAGGTACTGGATCTAAAAATAAAAGGATTGCTACATGCACGATTGAAAATTTAAAAAATAAAATGTCAAATTCTTACCATACATCATACATGTACCTATATGAAAGTTCAAGCAAAATTTCAGAATCCTGTGATTCATAGTTTCCATGCATGAGAAGTGTTCATCACATCTTGGAAAATCACAGATGGATGGGAAACTGATTCAAAGACATTGGCATCACTAAATACTACCGGCTTTTGAAGCGGAGGTAAAATTACATATATATATATATATATATTCAATCCAACATTGTAGGGATAAAAGAAATATATATGAATGCTTAAGTAAATGTATGCACAAATACATCTGCAAAATTCCATTCAATGCTTTATATTACATGTAAATAAGTACATGTACCATTATAGCTGTCAGAAGCATTGAAAAGATAAAATAAAATGAATCTTTAATACCTGGAAGGAAATGGACCTCATTAGAAGCCTCCTGTCCCCATGGTCCCCGTACTGGTCTGCAGAGCAACAGACTGCAAGGCTAGGTTCATGACAGAGTTCCATCTTTCTGCAGGGTTTTTGAAGGGCAACACCTCGCTGCCAACAAAACATCTAAGTCATCAATCAGAAATAGAGCAACAAGGGCCAGCTGAACAGACGGATATGTTACCCTATGGTCAGGACCTCCATCACTATAAATGACCCTGATCGGTTTACCAAAATAACCAGTAGCCCCTAACATTTGTCGAATTTCAGCTGAATGCCTTAACGGAGTTGACGACTGAAAAAGGCTATCCTTGAGTATTGTGCAGACAGTTCCTCTGTAAAAAGATCCATCCTCAATAGAATTCGGAATGTCTTGGATGAGAATTGTTGATGTATCATGATCAGCTACCATAAATGGCATGTCACCTTGAACGATTGTTTGTTTTCCCCCTGGCTACGGTTGCCATGGAAACACCAGGTTCGCCAATGGGTAAAGAAGCTTTGTCATCAACACAAACCAGTGCAGTAAATTCTTTGAATTTTGTACAAAATTCTTTCAAGTATCTGAATACAGCCGCACCATAATGTGCATCTTGGTGGTCAATGTTGAACTGACGAGACTGAACTTTAAATTTCATGTTAAATCGACCAGTAAAATGAAGCGCTGACTTCTGATAAGGATTTTTTGGTTGAAATTGTAAGAAAAGCCATTTTTCTGACGGAACAGGTACATTTTCTGGTAGTCAAGACTTAATAATCTTCCGTAAGTCAGGCTCCGACATAGCAATTCCACTATGACAAACTGTCCCGTGACGACGGTCACCAACAGCTTTTGCTGTTTGTTCATTGAGATATTTGTCAAGTTCTTCCCAAAACACTGTGAAACTTTCTGGTCGGCCTTCATTTATGTTTCTTAGATCATATACTATATCAGGATCATGAGAATCAAGTAACAACTTGAGTCTAGCTTGAACATCTTTGCTTGCTTGCGCTGACATTACACTCTGATCACCTTTGAGGTACTGATATAACTGAGTCATGATAGCGGGACTGATTTTTGTAACAAGACTAAATCTGTACATGAACTCTTTTCTCATAGCTCTGGTGTGAAAACTTGGAATAGTACCACTACTTTCAATTTTGTGTACAACTGCATTTGTTTTGCAAGGATCAACTGTTCCTGATTTCCAACAAAACCACAAACTGAACGATCGAGCCCCTGGGTGATATGTATACATTTCAATTTTATATGACAACTTGATACCTGTTATGTAGTCAAACCTATTCTTTCTATGTATAGTGAGAACATCATTGATAAATACTGGTTGGTAAGGTTCAACATCTTTTGTTATTTCTTCAAGATCTTTGTATTTTTCAATTTCAAATTGTATTCTGACACCGCCTTTGATGAATTTAACCTGAGATGATGTTCCATCGTCAATGCTTCTTGCTGGTTGTAAACTTTGATGAAGTTTCTTTTGTCTCTCATTGGTCTGAGTAAGATTGTCTATGTACACTTGAACGCCCCTGAGAGTGCTTTTTGAATCTAGGATTTGATAAAGTAACCGCAAAGTTTAATTTAATATCATACAATCCCTGTAGTTTCTGATCAAGGACATCTGCGCTCAATCTTGTTTTATTTTTGTGATTCCCAGGATTGTTGTATGTCTGTTCCAAGGTCATGGAATCGTTCAAGAAACAATTAAAAAGTTCTGGAAATTTGAAGCTCCTAGAGCATATTTTTGTTAAAAGTGGCAAAATATAAAACAGCACATATAAATATGCATCGACAATCGGTTTACCCACAGTCTTTACTAACCCACTAGGGAAGCCCATACTATTTTGCTGAAGAACTAAATCTATGAAGTCATTTCTCAAACGATAGTCTCCCCTAGTGCATTCATCTGGATTCGAGCCAAATTTTTCAGGGTATTCAAGCTTTACAGATTTTCCTGCAGACATCAGAACGTCAAATGCATTTTGTTTTGCTGTTAAGGGTTCATCAAGTTTGTAATCTTTAAGAATAAAATGCACAAAATGACCAAATAATTGGCAACCTTGTTTACATTTTACAGACAAGTTTGTTTCAATTCTGTCTTTCATATCTGCAGCTTGTGACACAAAGCACTTAATCAATGTTTTGTCCGAAATGGCGATGGCCTGTTTAAAACGAGTATTTGACGAGTCTCTTGCATTGGCCATAAAAAGGGCGTCCAACAGTTGGGAATATGTTTGATGTTGTTCAACATGGAAAGCGTATGGCGGCAAAACATCAACATTGTTATGTTTAACTGACACGCATACTAATGCTGCTTTGGAGGCAGCCGCCGTCATAGTTTTATTATTTTTTCTTCTCACATTTCTTGTCCTTTGTATCCTTGACACTTCCGAATCATTTATTTCCGTTAACACGAACGTTATACCACCGTTTTTGAAATCGCAAAAAAGATCTTGATCGAGGCGCCAATAACATTAGACATGTTTCCGGTAAATTTTCCGGAATTTATAAAAAACAAAACCGTTTCCGGTACATTTTCCGGATTTTTTTCTGTGTTTGTTTTTACGATTTCGGCAGTAAAAACCTAACCGCACGCGGACGCAAAACAAAGAAAAACACAACTTTGGCCTAATTGTCCATTTTTACATCTTCGCCGCCTTGTTTACATTTTACCGGAACTCCGCCAACGCGCTGTATTATGGGTAACTGTGAAATAGACTATAACCTCAAGTATTGCTCAAGTATACCTATGTACGTTTCATTGGCAATCCTATCTCATTAAATTTTGTTTAAAGAGGTCACGCAAGATTTGTTTCGGTTGTCCTAAAGTGTTGTTTAAAATCGTCTATTTGTGTGAGTATGAATTTTTTTAGACTGAATGTTCTTGACAAAATACATGCCAATTAAGTCTATTCGATGTTGGAATGAAGATCATAATTCTGAAAACAGCCTGTTGATATAGAATACCTGCATGTATATCATAGTTTCAAAGTTATTTGGGGGAAAGAGGTAAAATGAAACGCATTAAAATATTTAAATATATCAAAGGAGTAGGCCCAGTAAGACCCCTTTTTGGCCCCAAAATATAGCAATTTTACAAAATTGTTAAAATGTAAATTCTTAGCTTTTTATTGGAAAGAAGAAACTTCTGTTACATAAATATGGGCTGTTTTTGGCAATACAATGCACATGTATCGGGTACTAGCATCATTAAGTCATGCTAAATTACTGAAATCTTCGAAATTTTAGCATTTTGGTTAATTTTTAGACGGTTTTCGTCTGAAATGGAAGTGGCCGCATTTGTGTTCATTCTTAATATTTAAATGTAAGTTGTATTTGATGATAATACATAACATATATAAAGGTTGAGAATGAACACGGATGCGGCCACTTTCATTTTTGACAAAAACCGTCTGAAAAGTGACATATTATGGCATATTTGATAGATTTTTCATATTTAAGCTTGAATTTGAGCGTCTTTAATGACTAAATCAGTTCAAATCTTTCACATAAACTAATTGAATCGACTGAAGTAGACACTTAAGTGTTTAAAAAGTGTCCAAAATTTTTCATCAGATGAACCTGAATTTTGAGGCCAAAATCGGCCCTTACCGGACCTACTCCTTGAGGGTAAGCAGATTTTGAATATCATTCTCAAAAATCAATTTTGTAGTCCAGTAAGTATTTATATGTAAATAAAAAAAAATATTCAAACTTCCAATTATGTTTATACCAGACGGAATATAGAAACTAAAGGTATATCTGTCACACCAGACTCTTTG